AAAGGTTTAGTCTCTGAAAAAAATGAGAAAAATATAAATGTCACGCATTTCAAAAAGCTTCAGATAAGTGGCGAAATTATTTACAGTTATTTCTCAACTACTAATAAGTAGTGTAGATTTCTTAGCTAAATATAATCTTATTGAAAGAAAATCATTTCACACTTGCCTGGTCATAGTTTCCTATTAGCAGCCCATTTTTATGTAAGTAGCTGACAGACAGCTTGTTGTCGTACATTTGTCCCCATACTTTTCGGCTAAAATGAACTCAAATGAGTTCTTTGCGTATTCCACACTTCGTAATGAAATGTCTCCTATTTTAATTCGGGATTGATTCGACTTTATGTAAACTGGTCCACCGAATTAATTAGCGGCAACTGTTGTATTTTGAATTAGTTCCAATCCCTTTAGTAATAGCACTTTTAATGAGCTTCACCTCAACTGAGTCACTTTGGTCTGTTTGCAGAGCAACATTGATTGACATTTGTTGATCAAATCATTATATTAATAAGTGACGCACACCATAGACCTTCACTTTAATGACATAAAGACCTCATACTTCATTCCTTATCACCTGATATACTACTGTATTCCTCCAAGCATAAGTAAACATTATGCTTCTTTGGGTGCACAGATTTATTTACGAAGTCTATACCAGTAAACAGTTTCACTGGGAAATGATATTATGAAGTAGTACATGCTACACCATTGGGAGTTAAAATGTCACCTCACAATATTTCAAATTTTCTGAAGAGACTCATGAACAAACAAACTCATGATACTTCGTGTTCAAAACATTGGTGTAAGATAGAACTTTTGTAGTCTTTTAAATTCAGAGGTCCACCATGTCCGGTATGAGGACAGTTAGCTGCCTATGACATTGGCTGACAATTGAGCTATATTTATCGCGAATCGGCAGAAGTTAGAATTCACAGGTCAGTGGTTCGGGTCCCAGTGGCTGAATTACCCATGAGCTAGCTGTGTAAATGGAAGGTCTTGGGTAGGAATTTCAGTGGGTGCGTGTTGCCAATGAGTCACAAACTAAGATGAAATGACTGTCCAATACTCCGTAGCTTTCAATGGTTCTTTAACTGATGTCAGTCCGCTGGTAAACTTGAAATCAGTCAAACCCCTGCAAACTAACACTCGGTAAAACTGATAGTCTATACCGTTCAGTGAGGCTTTTATTTTCATTGCAACACTGATTCCTTAACGTGACGTCACTTCATTTTAGAGTATGCAATATTTAATACTGAACTAAGTGAATTTAATTTTAATAAGTGCACAAATGTGGAAAAATAACCAACTGCGTCTAAAGAGAGAGTTTTAAGTGGGAACATATTCTTTGTTGATTACAATTCAGGGTATTTTCCAAAATATAGGTGAGGCAGTTAATACAGAAAATCTAGCAAAGCTAGTAAAAACAATTAAACAGCAGTAACGAGTTACATAAGTCCGCTTGTTGTGTTCGAAAATACTTTATAGGAAAATAACTTCCTCCCTGCATCCAGCTTTTCTTTGGAATTCTACAAATTTTTGTCATATCAACGTTTTATAAACAATGTAACAAAAGGGTTTGATTTCAGTGTTTCAGATAACTTTTATTCCATTTATCTTAGTTAACTTAACATAACCTGTCACAGCGATAACTACTTCCTTAAAACTAACAGAAATTTATGTTATTTGTTTGCTTCATTTGATGGAAAATGATTTTTGACAAAAATAAGTTGAATAATTTAATTTATTACTGTGAAGAAATAACTCATCGATCTTTTGTTTATACAACTCAAATTCGTTGATTCTATGATAGACTAAAGTAGTAACATAGATTGCATCTTCCCCTTCTTAACATGCATTTCAGGGCATTTAATGTAAATAGTCACAGTTTCAAAAGCTCTGAGAATTCACAGTTGGTTTTTGCAAGTTAACTGAAGTACAGAATACAATGAGCTGCATAAATTAATCACCTATCATTTGTAGACATTGTCAATTACTCTTACTCAACTTTAGTCTAGAAAAAATTCGATTGATTATTGATTTGTTGTTCCATTGGATCTTGAGTGAAACATAGGGCTTCGACAGCGCACCTCCATTTTGTCCTCTTGTCTGCAGTCTCCTTCAGCTGGCCACATGATTGCCCGTAGAACTTCACTTCCTCCTGGTACGATCTCCTCCATATTATCCTCGCACCTCCACCCAACTGGTCATTCCCTACTCGGGTTTCGCTAAGCAAACGATGGCCTGGCGCGCGATGCCATGCAGCGGTGTTCTCTGCGTGTGTCCAATCCACCTCCATTTTCTTTGGCAAATTTTGCTCAGCAAAAGGCTGTTGATCGGTTCAAAGCCTCATTAAATTCAGTACTAGAGAAAGCAGAATAACAGTAACAAACATTCTGTGATTAAACATAAAGCTAGTTTAAGTATTTTTATTACAGAGAATTAAAAACGGGGCGAATGTTATTATACATGTCACTTTATTATAAATTCATGTAAATGAAACCTACCCTATAAGGTTTCTTAGCTGTCATTGATTATATTTATCGACATAATTTCATGATAATATTTACCCTCAACTTATGAAAACAGTGATGAAAAGGTAAGACCTTCAACTATTCAGGTTGATCGATTGGAAAAACAGTTTATGTTCTTTTTCTTCTACTATAAACTGAAGGTTATTTCTTTCATCTTATTGACCTCAATTTATTAAATATCGACAGCCTAGGAATTCTGTTTGAAAAATAAGGAAACTTCAAAGTAGGTCATTGTTATCAATACAAGATTCGTTTGAAAGAAAAGACATTTAATATGTTTGTGTACGTATGTTCGTTAAGAATAAAAAAATTTATAAAATAATTCTAAACATTGATGGAAATAAACGTCGAAACATAATTAATCTTGTGGTTGATTTCAACATATCCGAATGAAGATGAACGGTCTACTGTTCAGCAGTCGAACTAAGAATACTGTGAACCACCCACCTCCCACCCCTGAGGAATATAATGCTACTGTTATTCAGTTTCTGGCCTCACACAAATATTCATAAATCTATTTAGTCGCAATTTTTCACTGGATGTTTGAGAAATCCATCCCCAGATGTGTCAATGACGAGATGTAGACTGAAACCTAATAACTTCCAACCCCTAGTTTTCAAGGTAGCTATGACAATAATCTCAAAATCAATTCGATCATTAAAAATACAACAATTCAGCCTTGTTGTGCTTCACTTTTTCGAGCAATTGAAGACTGTAAACTGAAGTGTGACTTCAAAATGATTAGATTCAAAATCCTATTTTCAGCACACTTTTCAGCAACCTAATATATTTCATGAAATCTTTTTCAAACGAGATGTAAGGGTCAAGAGAAGGATATCGTAGCTCAGGTACTAAATCCAATAGACACATGGTGGTTTATAACAGCAACAGATATGTGAAAATTATTGAGGATTCCCATCATGAAATATGGAATAAGGCATTTAGGCGAAAAATATTGTTTCTAATCAGATTTCATGTTTCCCATTCATTTTACACAACTCTGTGCGTAAATCTTCAATTTAAACTAGTCACAAGAACTTGTAAACATGATAAACCAAACGATTTTAGTAGTGAAACTAATCAGAGTAGTATATTTTTTCAGTTTTTTGAGTTCTGAGTGGTTTCAGTAGCGGTGGGGCCATTTTTACGGAGTGTGGTTTGTAGCCTCACGCTCAATCTTACTTCTTTCGCGGACTGACTACTGTCCGCAAACAAGATGGTGAAAGTATGGTTATGAAAGAAGTGCTGATACATATAGAATAGATCCAATCTTGGAAGGTAAGCAATAGTATTACACAAACAAGAAAGCGTGAAGAAGACGGATAAATAGATTTCGTATAGAGATGTATTTGAAGTATAGAATGTGTAGTGAAAAATGGTAAGAATAGGCTTTATTTTTCAAAAATTAAAGACACAAGTGATAAAAAATAATACTTTCTCTGGCCAGATTAGTGATAATTACTGTAAAAACTGTTTCTGAATATAAAAGCATTGAAATATTGACTTGAATGTATATTGGTTGGCGGATTTCATCATGAGCTGACATCAGTTAGAGAACCATTGGAAAACCTGGGAGTACTGGACAGCTGTTTTGTCACAGTTTGAGACTCTTCAGCAGTACACACCCACCACCAGGGTTTGAACCCAGCACGTTCTGATTACAAGGCGAGGTAGCTCGTGAACCATTAAGAAACTCGGACCCGATTCAATGGCCGGCCCATGAATTCTAACTTCTGTCAATTCATGACACAGTGCGATCACTTCGCGATATCTTCTTCGATGACTTACTGCTTCAACCTCAACCTGCTGTACCCTACTGGCCATGGCTTCCTACTGGAACACCCGTTCACAGCCTGAATAGGACCAGTCGCTAGTGAGCATCAGAAACAGCTGTTCAGTACTCCTAGGTTTTTGAATGGTTCTCTAAATGATGTCAGCTCATGATGAAATCCTCCAGCCAATCAAACAAAATTCCCTACAATACCAATAATTAAAATGGGATATTTCCCATAGCATGCTGGCTTAGCTGTCGGGCTGTACGTGGGCTGTTAGTAAATGATATGTCGTTCTGTATGATTAATACACAATGAACATAGTGTACCCAGTGCAGTTTAGTCATACATTTTTCAGTGAATAACTATCAGTATTTTGTATTCAATTCCCCTCTCTCCCAAAAACCGCATGATAACAGTCAAATGGAAATTATTACCGAGAATAAGAGCTAGTTTCTACGGATGACTATTTCGAAACGCTTCACTTGTTTGTATAGAAAATGTACGGGTAAATCAATGGGAAATTACAGAGAACTTATCTACAATCATTGTCTCATTTATGCAAATGAAACTTCTCCATATTTATCCTGTGGTTTAAAGTACTTCCTTACGATACAATTGTTTCTGTTGGCTAGCAATTCGTGGCACAATTTCTTTGCAAGTAAATCAAGATTGTGTTTTATTTTTTTTTATCCTGTAGGTGCTTCACACAGTCCTCAGTATGATATTTTTCATGCCGGTGGATATGCAAGTCCAGCAGTCGACGCATTATGCACTACAAGTGATGTTTCAAAGTTGGAAAGTGAATTCCGTAATCAAGCAGGCGAGAATATACTAACTGTTATACGTACCAGGGGAATTGACTCAATGTCTCCACCAGAACAAAGGTAAGTAATCAAAAGTTTTTAACAAATTTATGCAATTTAATAGAAGAGACTCTGGAAATTTTAATATATAACTAGAGAATTAATTCCCATACAAGCAAATGTGGTTGCGTTTTAATAACTTTCAATAATGTCAGGGTATTTAAAGAAATTTATTCACTTAGTGTGGTTTCCGAATGTACTTTTAGAGTACTTTGAAGCTTGATTGAACACTAAATGAGTGATATGCGTCTAGTCCTTTGCTTGGTGCAAACTGAATTCCTGAACTGAATCAGTCAAGTTTGCAGTGTGGCTACCATGCTAGGCTGTTCGTCATCACAGTGCACTCTCAACTATTGTTACAAGATGGTTCGGGGTGATCGGTAGAAAGCTTTAGACCCAGATTTCGTGCTTGATGGCACTCGTTATAAAAGAGTCTTGAAGCAACCAGTTGATAACGAAAACTCCTGCGTCAATATAGTGTTTGAAAACATTAGATTTTACAAGAGAAGAGAAACCAGGTAAAAAATTCCTTTCTTGGATGTCTTAGTCAAGAGAACAAACACAGGAAACCTCGAAACATAAGTGTACAGGAAATCACCTCACACAGACTAAATAATTAACTATGATAATAATCCTAGAGCACACAAAAAACTATATACAAACGTTGATCAAGAGAGCTAAAACACACTGTAGCACTCCAGTCCTAAAGAGAATAGAAGAGAATTATTTGCTGTCTTTAAGGAAAACAGATACCTATACAAAATTCATCAAGAAACGTTTAAACTTGAATCTGACTACTAGTAAGAAACTACCTTCAGAAACCATAAGAAAATTCATACTACAATATCTAAAAATTTTTTCTAAAATATCGCCTAGGATACCGTGATCATTCGGAATGGACATCCAACGAAACCAGCACAGTCAATTCATTCAGCAGTATGCAAACCACAAGACCCAACAGCAAATTGACACAAGGTTAACATCATCTAGAAAACCAGTCGCATGTACTGTGATTATCACTTTATTGGTCAAAGTGGGTGTCCTCTCCGAATCCCAATCCGAGAATACAAACTAGTTGTCAAAAGACGTAGCATACATTCTTTCATGTTAATGTATGCGGACAATTATAGACAGCAATTTGACCGGAAAGATGGCGAAATTTTGAACAGTGGAAAGACTAAAGATCCCAGAGAATTCGTAGATGATTGCTACGTGGACGAATCAGCGACTAACAGACGCATTACTATAGATCAAATTTATCAACTAATAAAGAATGAGCCATATGACAAAAAAGTCAAATTTCAGGATAATAAATGCGATCAGCACTAAATAAAATTGTCAGGAGACTCAATTATACGATTCATAGGGAATTCAGATAAGTTCATTTTATATTAAAGCTTGATCTGAAAATCATGTCTCTGAAAACAATGACAGCTTCTCAACTGAACCATCCAGGTCAAAGAACACTACCAACTACTAACCTACAAATCTTCTCCACTATTTCAGAATAAACTTTTAAGTATTGGTTTTGTAGGGAATTTGTCTGATTGGTTGGAGGACTTCATCATGAGCTGACATCAGTTAGAGAAGTTAGAATTCATGGGTCATTAGTTTGGGTCCCAATGTCTCAATGATCTACGAGTTCACCTTGTAACCAGAAGGGTATGGGTTCAACCCCTGGAGGTGGGTGCGTACTGATGAAGACTTCCAAACTAGGACGAAACAGCTGTCCAGTACTTCCAGCTGGTTTTCCAATAGTTCTCTAACTGATGTCAGCTCATGATGAAATCCTTCAACCAAAAAACTTTTACTAAATTTTTAAATATAAATAAATTCGGTGGGCTCCAGTCTTCCACTGAATCTAGTGTGAGAACAATGAATTCGATGGAATTTTTATTCAGCTGTGTTTTGTGTTTATTTTGTTACTTCTGTATACACATCAAGTGTAGTTACAAAAAAACAGATATGTAGTTACTGAATACTGTGAAACGAGATTTGGTGTAGTCTAACAGAAAATACCAGCAATTCAAGTTTTGTGATTGACGAAACGATAGACAATAACACCAGGTATCTGTGTTCAATTAACATCTTCATATACTTTAAATTATCAGAACGTGTTTTTGAATATATTATCTTCCCTACATAGATTTCGTTCAGCACTTTTCGCAGTCAACAGCTCGCATCATCTATTATCATTTCTAACACGTATAGTGCCAAGTCCAGATTGGTGTACAGGTTTATCAAGAGTAGATGTATGCCTACCAAATTGTTCATGGCCTTTAAGAATGCAATTTCGTTTAGAACCATGGGACGCTGGTGTAATGACTGGTAATACATACATACCAATTGAAACATCAGAAAGACTTAGAGAACCAAAGCCAATGTGTCCAATAACACCTGATTTACGACCAAATACACCATTTACTGTTTTAACAGATTATGTATCTCTACCGAATTCTGATTCATTCGGTCTATCAAATCTACATACATCTGGTTCAAATGCATTTAGAAATCCTAATTTAGGCATGCCAATGTCAGATCAAATGAATCTTTTAAATATTCCCTCAACAACAGGACGTATGCGTAGACAATTTGCTCGACTTGGTATGGTTGAATTAGAGTTATTACGTGTAAATGAGGTAAGTACATTTTACTTGATAAATATAATCTTTTAATATTATCATAATATTGTTATTACTGATCATACCTTGCCTTCCGAGTGGAACAGAATGCTTCGTTAGCACATTATACTGCAGTTAATTCTACTGGTTTCACGACTGCCTACAACCTTTAATTTACTCTTCACATGACGTTTTCCAGTGTTCCTATGAGCAGGTTTCCTCCATGGTGTTGCTTTCTACCACCAACTTTTCCCCGATGATGGCAGCAAAGGTACCGTTTGGAACTTCCTCCTTCAGTTTCTGAATGAAAAATTTGAATTCTCTTCTATATATGGCTTCTTTGAAAGCTTTTCACCTAACCTTGAACGTTTCCCATACTAGATAGTGGTTCGAGCCTTTATCTGTTCCTATTCTCCATCCAACAGACTGTATCTACACTTTTTCAGTATTGATATGAAGTCCATCTGAGTTCTGGTGTGACCATTTGGTGAAACCCAAGTCTGCTTGTGTATACCCTTGTGCTTATACAGGCTACCTCTAACCACCAAATCATTAAACGCCCAAAGGTTTCTTGCAAAGTCCTCTGTCCTCATTCATTTCAACAAATGCCTCTCGATTACCAGTGAATTCTCACCTATTTTTTTCTGCTTCCAGTTTGGCTAATGTGTGTTTCACCCATTGGAATTTCGACATCGCCATTTAGGGTCTTGTCCGTTACTGTTTACAACTGTCCTCCTTCCTCTTTTGGTCTGGATTGTTTGTAGGAGCGTAGCGCTGCAAAACTGCGACTTTTCTTTCTCTTCATTTGAATCTTACTATCATGACCTTAAGAGACAGTGGTTTCAGCTGAATATGACAGAACCTTCAATACTGTTGGTGATATGGGGATAGTATGTTTGAGGTTTTCCGGAGTAGGTTATTAACAATTTGTAAAGTTCACTTCTATGCCATCTTATCTCTCAGATCCCCAATATTTCTTGATGATATCTGCTCATTTCCTTTGCAATCTGAATAGCCTTGTCAGCCTCGAGAATATTGTAGATATTCCCCTCCCACAGGCCAATTTTGTGCTTTTATCAATAGATCACAAACTGTCTGACCAGCTTCTTAGAGACCTACGCCCGCTGGCATCATTCATCTACAAAAATTCAAGTGAAGAATAAGGTTTTTTCTATGCTTTCAAGTTTCAATAGTGATGGTAGTGTTTCTGAGCAGGATGATACTGGTATCCTTACTTTAAATCCTCTTCTTAGGGCTAATCAGTAAACTAGGCGAGGTTGCTTTTTTTGGATATCTTGTGAAATATTCGCTATGTATTGAACATATATGAGAGCTTTCCAGTGAAACAAATATGCAAAACATTTTAAACCTGACAGTTAAGTTAATTATTTATTTTCTAAATGCCTAATGAAATGTAATCATCAATAATTGATAATTTTCATAGAATCTATGAAGTGGAAGTTGATTCGATTTGACTAGATATTTCATATCACGTAAACAAATAGAAAAACAAAAATAGCAAATAACTTTAGTTAGTGTTTACCGAAAAATGTATGAAAAGTGAGTGTTTTTGAACTAATTTCTACTGAGAAGTGAACTAAAAATCACTGAAAAATACTTATTCATTGCGCACACCGAACAATTGCCCTCCTCGATGGGTACTGTTCACTGACATAACATCAGATTGGAAAAGAGTTAAGCGGTGGCAAATCGAAGCCTTAAATCATCTCATAAAGTCTTGGACAGTTGTTTTAAGCCACATCGAGAGAGGTGCAAACTGCTTGCCCGGGTTCCTCAGGATGCTAGTAAGCAATGGCTGTAGACTGTTTATAGTATGGTTCAAAATTGTTCTCAGTGATACAGATGCATTCACTATTCGTAACCTCCCATATCCATTATGAACCGTCATCGTTTGCTCCATGTTACAATTCTTCTCCCCTCACATTTCTGCTTATTAGAGTTCTTTTGTATCTCTTTCCTCTATCTTCTGTTTACCTTTGTGTGCTTTATGAAATGTGGCAACTTTAACTGCCGTATCTCTGTGCTAAGTTCTATTTTAAAATTCAGACAATAGGTCGGTTATATACTTAAATCACATTGTTTAGTAGTTTTTTAATGCATTAGATACGCACCTAAAAATTTAGTCCCACCATTAGCGGTGTGTCGCGAAGTAATTTGGAAACTACTCGAGTACTACGGCGTACCCCAAATATTCATCAACCTTATTCAACAGCTGTACGACAACGGCACATGTCAAGTCATCCACAACGGAAAACTCAGCGAGGCGTTTGGAGTAAACACAGGAGTCAGACAAGGGTGCTTATTATCATCAATGATATTCCTAATTGTGGTGGACTGGATTATGCGTCAGACAGTGGGTAACGAGAAGACAGGGATATCCTGGACCACCGACGTGAAGAACCTAGAAGACCTGGATTTCTCAGATGATTTATGTTTGATGTCACACAAAATCGAAGAATTACAAGCGAAAACCGACAAACTGGTCGAAGAAGCAGCCAGAGAAGACAGGACTGCAGGTGAACATAGACAAGACGGAGGTTATGAAAATAACCAACCAACCAACAACAACAACAGCAACATCCAGCGCCAGTCACCATCAACTGGAGGGATTTGAAAGATGCTACTTCTTTCACTTATCTAGAGAGCATTGTCTCAACTACAGGAGGAACGGACGAGGATGTCAAATCGAGAATCGGGAGAGCGAGAAACACATTCATCAACCTGAAACCAATGTGGAAATCTTCGTCACTCAACATCAACAACAAAATTCGGATTTTCAATACAAACGTCAAGTCAGTTTTGCTATACGGATCAGAAACGTGGTAGGTCACAAAGAACATTTCCAACAAGCTGCAGACCTTTATCAACAGCTGTCTTCGTTCGTTCTATACTGAAGATGAGATGGCTGGAAAGAATCACCAACAAGAAACTATGGTAACAAACAAAACAAAAACCAATCGCCAACCAACCAATATGCAGGAGAAAGTGGAGATGCATTGGACACTCGCTGAGGAGACCGTTGGGTGACATCGCGCGTCAGGCCCTCGAGTGGGACCCGAAATGGAAGCGGCGAGTGGGACGTCCAAGGATGACACGGAGGAGATCGTGTGAAGAGGAACTGAAACAGTATGGATTAACAGGGATGCAAGTGAAAAGTACAGCAGAAGACAGAAGCAAGTGGAGGCGTGCAGTTGAAGCCCTATGTTCCACTAGGAACCCAAGGGAACAATAATAATAATATAATTAGCGGTGTGTAAATGCTTATTCATCAGTGAACAAACAAACTAACTTAGTCTTATAAAGCCACCGAAATTTCGCGCATAGTAGGTTAAATAATGTTGATCACTTTAATTTAACATTAAAAAGGTAATTAGTCGCTTAAATTTAAATTAAATAGAATAATTTAATTCAATTCGAACTTTCCTGTTAATTACCGATGCTCGTTGCACAGGAAGTGGGTAAGGTTTCGGAGTTTGAAACTATGGGTACTTGTTTTGGTCCTCAGCGGGAACATCATCATCCTCTAGGGAATGCAGATACATCCAGATGACGAGTCCCAAATAGGACCAAATACGCATCCTAGATTCGGCTGGTAGTCACCATTCACCAATTTACTTCAAGTTAAATGGAATACATTTAAAAATAAATTATGCTTAGGTAAACAATGAATTTTCTCTCTTTTTCTGTTTAAAAATCAGGTCATTTTACTTAAGTGGATTTTCCCCAGAGGGTTTTAAACAAAAAACTAGCTCTTCTTGAGTGAAATGGAAGATTAAAAAACAGTTTACAAGCTAACCGATAGTTTATAGATTCAAAATTATATAATTTAGAGTTAGCTTAAGTCACGTTTCACATAGTTTTGGTTTAACCATGCACACCATTCAGTACTAAAATGTAAAATTTCACTATTATTCCATTGAGTTCCGAATGGAACATTCGGCTTCAACAACACGTCGCCACAATGTCCTATCTCCCGCCATCCTCTTTAGCTTGGACCACGATCGTCTAAACTCTCTCATCTCTTCCTCATACGATCTCCTCTATGTCACCCTAGGACGACCCACCCGTCACTTCCCATTTGGATCCCACTCCAGGGCCTTGCATGCGATGTCATTTGGCGGCCTCCTCAATGTATGGCCGATCAATCCATCTCCATTTTCTCAAACATGTTTGTTGAGCGATCGGTTCTTTGTTGGTTTGTTCCCACAGTTTCTTGTTACTGATTCTTTCTGGCCATTTGATCTTCAGTATGGAGCCAGCGAAGTGGGCAGCTGTTGATAAAAGTCTGCAGTGGCCTGTTTGAAATGCTTTTCGTGACACGGAGTGCAATTTTCTGACCCGTATAGAAGCACCGACTTGACATTGGTGTTGAAAATCCGAATCTTGTTCTTTTTAATGCTGAGTCAGTGCAGAAGATTTTCAAACTGGTTTCAGGTTGATGAAGGCGTATCTTGCCTTTCCGATTCTGAATTTGACATCTTCATCCGTTCTGCCTGTGGTTGAGTAAAATTTCATAGGTAAAATAAAACCCATACAAAGTAACTACACCTTTACCAAAGACAGTTACTGTATACTATACACAGAATATGAGTTATTAAATTTGATTTCACAAAGTCTCTGATAATCTGGAAACTGAAATTAGGACAGAACATCTGGTTTATTTAATGAAGACGATTTACCAGATGAAATAAATAAATGGTTATTCAAAAAAAATGGAAACATTTTAATGCAAAAAGATATGCATAAGATTTATGCATCATATCACAAACGATTATTCCGAAGCTGTAGTAACAAAAATTAACACAGTTTCGGTAGTCATTCCATACATTACAAAGATACAATGAACTAGGGAGCCTACATCAAATGAATGCGTGGATTAGGTTGGTAAAATGTTTTTGGTAGCACAAGTGTTTATTTGTGAGAATGATGCAGAGTTATGGCAGTGTGCAGAAAGGTTATACTGAAATCTCCGTTTGTACATGTTCTTCATATTGGGC